GGTGTCCCAATGGACTTCGGAATTAACATCAACTTCACCATGGGCGGAGCGATGACCCACCAGGAAGCCATCCGCGATTCCATGGCAGAGGTGGACCTGGCGGAGCAGATGGGCCTCGATACCGTATGGTTGGGCGAGATGCACTTCAACCCCGCTCGGTCGGTACTATCGGCGCCTATCGTCATTGCCAGTTCCATCGCCACGCGCACCAAGCGTTTGCGGGTGGGCATGGCGGTGCAGGTATTGCCGCTGATCCATCCTTTGCGTATTGCCGAGGAAGCGGCGACGGTGGACCAGTTGAGCGAGGGCCGGTTCGAGTTTGGTGTCGGTCGAAGCGGCAACGTGCGCGCGTACGACATCATGGGCATCGACTACGGGGAGAGCAAGGACAGGTTCCAGGAGGCGCTGGACATCATTCTGTTGGCGTGGTCGGGTGAAACTTTCTCCTACGAGGGGAAGTACAACCACATTACCAACGCCAGCATCTCTCCGCTGCCCTACCAGCAGCCCCACCCGAAGGTGCGCATCGCCGCGAGCAGCGAGGACAGTTTCGGACGCATTGGCCGGCTGGGCTACCCCATCTTCCTGGGGCTGAGAACGATGGACGTCGAAGACCTGAAGACGAACCTGCAAGAGTACAAGCAAGAGTGGCAAGCGGCCGGGCATCCCGGTGAAGGCGGCGACATCAACGTGCGCTTCCCGGTTTACATTGCACCCAGCGAAGCCGAGGCCATTGAAGAACCCAGGGAAAGCATCGAGGCGTTTTTCCAGCGCCAACGCGAGCTCTTTGAGTATTCGAGAGGACGGCAGGGCGCGGACGTTTCGGCGGGCCGTCAGGCGCGGTACGAACGTCTAGTCAACTCCACCTACGAGGACTTGCTGGAAACCAGGGTGGTATTCGGCAGTCCCGAGCAGGTAATTGACCGGCTGCACGAGTTCAAGGACATGCTGGGCGTATCCGGAATTACCGCCGAACTGAATCCCGGCGGGTTCCTGCCGAAGGAAGCGGTGCAGCGGAGCCTGAGGCTGATGACTGAAGAGGTAATGCCGGCCTTCAAGTAGCATCCCGCGGCCGGCGAAGCATCAGTGGAGTTCTCTCCAAAGGAGATGAAAGACTATGCCAGCGCGAACGGGACAGGAATATATCACCGGCCTGAAGGAACGACCCCGGGAGGTGTGGCTCCAGGGTGAGCGCGTTAAGGATGTAACCACGCATCCGAAGTTGCGCAACGGCGTGCAATCGGTCGCCGCGCTCTACGATATGCAGCACGATGCCGCGCTCAGCGAGGCGATGACCTTTGCCTCGCCATCTACCGGCGATCCGGTGGGAATATCCTTCATGGTGCCCCACACCGGGGAAGACTTGGAGCGCCGCCGCGAGATGATGTCCCACTGGGCCTGGGCAAGTTGCGGCATGATGGGGCGTTCCCCAGATTTTATGAACACCATATTCACGGCGTGGGCCGGGTCCGCCGACTACTTTGCCCGGGACCGGCCCGAGTTCAAGAAGAATGTGCTGGCTTACCACGAGTTCATCCGGGAGAACGACGTAACGCTCACCCATGCCCTGGTGAACCTGCAACGACGGCGCAGCGTTGGTCCGGCCGATTCGCTGCACGAAAACGTGGCGCTTACGCTGGTCAAGGAAACTGACGCTGGCATCGTGGTCCGTGGCAGCCGCACACTGGCGACTCTGGGTCCCATATCCGACGAAATCGCCATCTATCCGGTGGCGAGCCATCGGCTGGACGACGAAGCCAGGCGCCAGGCGTTCTCGTTCTCAATTCCCTGTGATACGCCGGGCGTGAAGTTCCTGTGCCGGGAGAGTTTCGACCTGGGACGATCCCACTTTGACCATCCGCTGGGATCGCGGTTCGAGGAAATGGACTCGGTGGTGTTCTTCGACGACGTGTCCGTACCGTGGGAGCGGGTGTTCCTGCTGGGGGACGTGGAGTTGTGCAACGGTTACGCGTCCGGCACGCAATCGGACGCCCACACCGGGCACCAGGTGCTGAACCGGTGCCTCACCAAGGCCGAATTCGTGCTGGGTCTGGCGGATTTGATTGTGGACACGCTGGGGTCGGGTACGATACCGCACGTGCAGGAGATGGTGGCCGAGTTAATCACCCAGCGGGATTTGCTGCGGGCCTGTCTGCGCGCATCCGAAGCCGACGCCAAACCCAACCAGTGGGGCATGATGTGCCCCGACATGAACTCCATCCGAGCCGGGCGCACCATGTTCGGCCGCACGGTGTTCCCGCGGATGATCGAGATTATCCAGCTGTTGAGCACCGGCAGCCTGATGGCGCTGCCGGCGGAAGCCGATTTCGATGCTGGCATTGCCGCCGAGGTGAACCAGTATTTCGCCACCGATTCCACATCCGCGCGGGACCGGGCCAAACTCTTCCACCTGGCCTGGGACGTGTCGTGCAGCTCGTTCAGCGGCCGGCAGGTGTTGTACGAGCGGATGTTTGGCGGCAATCCGGTGCGGAACTCGCTGGCCCTGTATACCAACTACGACAAGGAACCCTACAAACAGAAGGTGCGCGCTTTTCTCGAGAAGGAAGACTGACGCATATGGTCAAACCAACCGACCGGAGTCCGACAGACCGGAGTTCAACCGGCAGAGGTTGAGGCAACTGACGTCACGAAGGAGGGAGCAAAATGTCATACACTCCAAAGCATTTGGGTCATCTGGTGATGAGGGTGCGGGATATGGATCGTTCGCTGGACTTTTACACCCGGGTGATGGGCCTCACCATCATGGAGCGAACCGCCAGCGGAACCGTGTTCATGTCGGCCAACACCGAGAAGTCGCACGAGTTGGCCATCCGGGCCATCGGCATGGACGCCGGCGGGCCGGACCATTCGATAGTTGGTCAGGCGCACATGGCCTGGCAGATGGAGACCTTCGAGGACCTGCAGGAACTGTACACGCGCATGAAGGAAAACAACGTGCGTATCCAGCGGGTCAGCGACCACGGCGTGTCCCTGGGTGTATACCTACTGGACCCGGACGACAACGAGATCGAGGTGTACTACGAGCTCCCCAGTACCCAGTGGGAGGACAAGGTAGGTAACGGCCTGTTCTCGGGCACCTTCGGAAGGCAACTGGAAGAACCGGCGGGCGTCGCCGACGACTAACCCTATTCCCGCATCGAATGCGGTGTCATGGAAAAGCCCTCCGGCGGTGGGAACCGCGGAGGGCTTCGTCTTGCGACAAGACCCGTGCTGGGGAGTGTAACCGTCCCGGCGTTTACCCGTCCAGCGGCACAGTGGCGGTCAAGCGCGGACCGTCGCCGACGGCTCGGGTGGTGTGGCCCTTTCCGGTGAGGTCTTCGGCCAGCATGGCCTGCCCGGCGCCGAAGCGGTGAGTGGTACCGTCTCCAAGACCAATTTCCACTTCACCTTCCAGTGTGATCACAAACTGGCGGCGCGGGGCGCAGTGCCAGTCGCTAAAGTAGCCGGATTCGACGCGTCGAAACACGATACCGGCGGTGGATTGCATAGCGGCGAGTTCGGGGTGAGACTCGAGGTCCAGTTGCTCGATGTGGGACTGTCCGTCATCTCCGGTGTATAGCCTGGCGATTGGCATATCATTCCTCCCTGGGGGTTCGTGGTTGCTGAGTCGTGCTGATTTTATCAAATACAGGCAGATTTCGCTCTCGCCACGCGTCTGTGATGACGCGCCCGACGCTACTGCATCTGTTGGGAGTTAGAACAGGGAGTTGATGGGTTGGACCAGAGTCGTATCGTTGTTGCTGGCGCGGTTAACGTTGGTGGATACCGGATGGAGGGTGATGCTGGGCCAGTCGGCGGGTTGCAACAGGGACAGCAAGGGTTCCGGTTCGAGGTTGGCTGAGAGCCACAGATCGTATTGGTCGGGTTGCAGGATGACAGGCATTCGGTCGTGAATGTTAGCGACCAATTCGTTGGCGGCACAGGTGATGATGGCGCAGGCATCGACCGGGCCATCGGGAGTGTGGGAGGTTGACCAGATGCCGGCGAAGGCCACTGGCGCGCCATCCGGTCGGTGGAACCACATCGGAACCCGGCTGCCTGATGGGTCTTTGCGCCACTCGTAGAAGCCGTTGGCCGGCACCAGGCAGCGGCGATGGGCGAAGGCATCGCGGAAGGTGGGGCGTTGGCGGATGGTTTCGGCGCGGGCGTTGAACAGGGGCCGGTTCGCACCGGCGCCCTGGCGTGGGCGAGCGGCGGTCATGCCCCAGCGCAGCACGCGCGGGATGCGGGCGTCGGGATCGTCCGGGTCGTCCCGGTTCTGGACGGAATTGCTCTGGACGGTGAGGACGGCGGCAGTGGGCGGGATGTTCCAGTGGGGCTGGTAGATGTCCCGGACGACGGTGGGAGCGAAGTTGAACTGCTCCGCCAGATCGTCAAGCTCGGAGAAGAGGCCAAAGCGTCCGCACATGGTGGCTACTCAGACAGCAGTGTTTGGATCTCGCGGTTCAGCGTTGGCAATTTCGTGTCGACAATATCCCATACCAGTTCGTCGCTTACGACGGAGTAGTTGTGGACCAGAATATTCCGGAAGGCAATGATGCGGCGATATTCGGTAATGCGGGAAACGAGGTTCTCGTCGAGTCTTGCCAATTGAGCTACCGCTTCGCCGATAATTGCCAGCAGACGCTCGACGGCCGCCCGCAGCATGGCGTCCTCTTGATAGTCGGTGAAGCTCTTGTTGGTGGTGAATGCGGCGATCAACGTCAGAGCCTGTTCAATGTCGTATAGAAATTTCCGGGCTTCAAGCTGCATAAAGCAGGACGCTGGTCTGGTCAACAGTCTGTTGGAAGTAAGGATTTCGGATGGCTGAACGAACCACCAAATCTACCGGACGTTCGAACATGTGCTCGAGGGTTTCCAGCAGACCAAAATAGGTGTCTGCGTAAGTGCCGGCCGGCAATGACTGGAACTCCACCAGAAAATCCAGGTCGCTGTCAGTTGCGTTGTATTGTGCGGTCGCGGCGGACCCGAACAGGCTGAGGCTCGAAACGCGATATTGAGAACAGAGTTGTTCCAGTTCGTCCCGTCGCTGTTCGATTACTGGGTGCATGGAAGTACTCTGAAAGGCCGTTCGGTGGGCGACCCATTATAACCGGATTGTACGCCAGGAGGCAGCGGGGATGACATTTCCCAGGGCAATCGCGTCTTAATGGTAATTTTTTGAATTATGCTAATGTTGGCTGATTCGATAAAACTAGAGAGGGCGACGGGCCATGGCAGAATCACATCACGTATCGATCTTGGACCATTTCGACGACTTGGACGACCCACGGGTGGAACGGACCCGACGCACCAGCTGGTGGATATTCTAGCCATCGCCATCTGCGCCGCCATCTGCGGAGCCGATTCCTGGGTCCATGTGGAACTCTCGGCAGGAGCAAGCTGGAATGGTTTCAAACCTTCCTGGAATTGCCCCAACGGCGTCCCCTCCCATGACACCTTCGGCGATGTCTTGCGCGTCTGGACCCAGCCCAATTCCAGAACTGCTTCGTGTCTTGGACCCCAGGCCATCGCCGAACTGCTGCCCGGTGAGGTGGTCGCCATTGACGGCAAGACGGCCCGACGGTCCTACGACCGGGCGGGGGAGCAAGGGGAGCCATGCATCTGGTCAGCGCCTGGGCCACGACAGAAACACCCTGACGTTGTGGGCAGGTCAGGACGGCGGAGAAGTCCAATGAGATCACCGCCATTCCCCAACTGCTGGACTTGCTGGATCTGCACGGCTGCATCGTGACCATTGACGGCATGGGCTGCCAGCGGGAGATTGCCCAGCAGATCACAGACGGCGGGGCCAATTACGTCCTGGCGGTGAAGGAGAACCAGGGTCAACTCCACGAGGGCATCCGAGACCTGTTCGAGGGGGCGGGGCGTTGGGCTTTGACGGGGTGCCCTACGACTACTCCCAGACCGTGAACAAGGGGACACGGACGGGTGGAACGGCGGGAATGCTGGACCATCACCGCGACGGACTGCCTGGACTACATCAACCCTCACCGGGCAATGGCCCCCAACTGAAGGCCGCCATCAAGTGGTCGGCCATCGTGAGACCGCAGGCCGGCGCGATCAGTCAACCTCGCTACTACATCAGCAGCCTGCCAGCCCCAGCAGGACAACTGCTGGCTGCCGTCAGGAGCCATTGGAGCATCGAGAACTCACTGCACTGGACTTTGGATGTAACCTTTCGAGAAGATCAGTGCCGAGTGCGCAAAGACCACGGGCCGCAGAATCTGGCCACCCTGCGTCAGATCTCCCACAATCTACTGAAAAACGAAAACAGCCTCAAAGTGGGCATCCAGGGCAAACGGCTCAACGCCGGTTGGCGTGAAGACTACCTACTAAAAGTACTCCTCGGATAAGACGCGATTGCCCTGTGGCCGGCATCTCGTGCTTGCCGGCATCTACTGATGAGCAGTTGCTAGGTCTTACAGCCACTCGGCGGCGCGTTCGCCGATCATGATGGCGGTGGCGTTGGTGTTGGCCCGCACCACGTTGGGGCAGATGGACAGGTCAACCACCCGCAGGTTCTGGAAGCCCCGCACCCGGCAAAACTGGTCGACGACTGCCATCGGGTCGCCGTCCGGCCCCATGCGACACGCTCCGGAGGTGTGGAAAGTAGTGAAGACGTTGCGGCGCAGCCAGTCGTCGAGGTCGGCGTCTGACGCCATTATTTCAGCAGAAGGAGACGCCAATGGGCCGGCAATTCGCGCGAAGGCGGGCTGTTCCAGCACCTGTTGGCAAAGACGCACGGCCTCCCGCAAACGGCTGCGGTCGAAGTCGCTGCGCAGATACCGGTAGTCAATGACCGGCTTGTCGTGAGGGTTGGCTGATGACAGGCTCATTTCCCCGGCGCTGTCGGCCTGCTCCAGAATGCACGTCATCCGCAGCACTGCCCGGTCGGAACCGGGGTCGCTGCCCAACGGACTTGGGCCGGACACGTCGTTGTTGACATAAACGTGCATATCGTTGCGCAGCGGTGAACCGGCCGTCGTGTAGCGCAACAGCGTCTGGATTCGTGAGCCCGAGAAGTCCGAGGAGAATTCGGCGTTCAACGCGGCGTCCACGTACACCAGCGGGTGGTCGCGCAGGTTTTGTCCGACGCCGGGCAGGTCTTGCACCACCGGTATGCCCACTTCGGCCAGATGCCCTGCCGGGCCCACGCCGGACAGCATCAGCAGCTGGGGCGAGGCGAGCCCGCCGGCGCTCAAGACTATTTCGCCGGCCGGTAACGTTGAATATCTGGCCGCCGCTTTCCACTTCGACACCCGTTGCGGTGTTGCCCTCAAACAGGATGCGACGGGCCAGGACACTGGGGCGGATGGTCAGGTTCAACCGGTGGCGCGCGGCGGACAGGTAGGCCAGAGCGCAACTCATACGCACGCCGGCCGGATTGTTCATCGGTGCCGCGCCGAATCCCGTGGATGAAGGGTGGTTCATGTCTGAATCGGCGGGGAACCCCAACGCGGCGCACGCCGTCAGAAACGCCTGCTGAAATGGATGCCAGGTTTCCCGGGGAGCGCGCACCACCGGAATTGGGCCGTCACTGCCGTGAAAATCGTCGCGAATGTCGGCGTCTGATTCCAGCTTGCGGAAGAAGGGCAGCACGTTGGCGAAAGACCATTGGTCATTGCCCTGCTGCGCCCACGTATCGTAATCCTCGGGCAAGCCGCGCAGAAAAACCTGCCCGTTGACCGCCCCGGAGCCACCCATGACTTTGCCGCGGGCAATCTGCATGGGGGCGTCCTGCTCCTGGGTTCCGGTAGCCTGATACGACCAGTTGAACCGCGCGCCCGCCGCCGACCCCTCCTGACGGGACCCGTCCCGCAACTCGCCGGGCCACTGCTCGAACTCGGCGAAATCCGGCCCAGCTTCCAGCAGCAGCACCGATTTGTCAGGGTTTTCTGACAATCGCGTCGCCAGGGCACAACCCGCTGAACCGCCGCCCACTACAATGACGTCGTATTGCATAAATTACTGCCCCGTCTCATCTGGCGTCGGCTTAAACCCGAACGCCGTGCAAAAGTGGCGAGCGACGGCATCTGCGATGGTGTCCACGGTGAGTAGCTCGGCGCGGCCGGATAGCTCGGCAGCCACGCTGGTTACGCCCCGATCGGCGATGCCGCACGGGATGATTGCATCGAACATAGACAGGTCCGCACGCACGTTGATTGCGAAACCGTGGTAGGCGACGCCGCCGGCAATCTTGACGCCGATGGCGGCCAACTTACGCCGTCCGTCCGCAGTCCACACGCCGGTCAAGCCATCCACGGTTGAGGTTGCCAGTCCAAATTCAACCAGGCTGTTGCTGATAACCTGCTCCAGAGTCCGCACGTACCAATGCGGCCCGCCGCGCCCCCGCAGCCGTACGATGGGGTAGGCAACCAGCTGACCCGGCCCGTGGTAGGTGATCAAACCGCCCCGGTCGGTTTCCACGATTTCAGCGCCGCGACTCGCCACTGCCGATTGGTCGAGCAGCAGGTGCGTGTCTGGCGACAGCCGCCCGCGCGTGTAGGTGTGAGGGTGTTCAAGCAGGAGCAGGGTGTCCGGCGTCAGGCCCCGGCGCACGCGGTCGGCAATCTCCACCTGCAAATCCCACGCCTCCCGGTAGGGAACTGTTCCCAACCGGACGATGCGGCACAACTCGGGAACGGCATCGCGCGCCGCCGGGTCAGTAGATGGGAGTGTCGCCATCCACCGCCTCAAGGCGACGCTTGACCGACTGCAGGAACGCTCCGGACTCCTCGCCGTCATTGATGCGATGATCGAAGGACAGGCAAAGGTTCATCATCCAGCGAATGGCGATGGCGTCGTTGATGACTACCGGCCGCTGTTGCACGGCTTCGGTGGTCAGGATGCCGGCCTGCGGGTGGTTGATGATGGGGCCACTGATGGAGCTGCCCAGGGCGCCGGTGTTGTTGACGGTAAACGTACCCCCCTGCACGTCTTCAAGTCGCAACGCACCGCTACGCGCACGACCGGCTAGGTCGTCGATGGCGTGGGCGAGCCCGGCTATGCTCAACCGGTCAGCGTCGTGGATGACGGGCACAACCAGCCCGGTGGGTGCGGCGACCGCAATACCCAGGTTGATGCGCCGTTTGAGCACGATGTGGTCATCGCCCCAGGAGGCGTTCAGCGTTGGGTTGTCCTTCAGCGCGCCGGCCACCGCCTTCAGCGCGAAGGGCAGGTAGGTCAGATTGATGCCTTCCCGCTGGCGGAACGCGTGTCGCTCGCGGTTCCGCAGCGCTACCAGCTCGTTGATATCTACTTCCACCATGCTCCAGGCGTGGGGAATCTGGCTCGCCGAGCGCACCATTGCCTCGGCAATCATGCGACGCACCGGCGTGATGGCTAACCTTTCCTCGTCTGCAATGGTTTCCGAGACGGGGGCCGGAACCGGGACAGTCGCCGGCCCGGCGGCGGGTTCCAGAAACCGCAGCACGTCATCTCGGGTTACGCGCCCGCCCATTCCGGTGCCGGTGATGCGGTCGACATCGAGCTGGTGCTCGCGGGCGAGTCGCCGCACTGCCGGGGACAGGCGGTGCGCCGGGCGTTCTCCGTCGGCATCCGCGTGGGCAGCCGGATTTGCGGCGTCCACCAATTGCGTTGCAACGGCTGGCGGCGGCGTAGCCGGCGTGGCCGGAGGGGATGGCGCGGCGCCGGCGGTTTCCTGAGCCAACGCCTCCACCGCCGAACCACCGGTTGGCCCCACCGGCTGCGCGTTGGTAATGAGGTACGACATGGGCGTCGTCGAGGTTGCTGGCGTCGCCGGAGGTGGCGGCGGGACAGGAGCCGGCGGCGCCGTCGGAGACGCCGCTGCCGCCTGGACCGCCGGGGCCGGAGTTGCGCGTTCGTCGGTTTCAACCTCCGCGATGGCGGCTCCCATCGGCACGGTCTCGCCTTCCGTGGCGATGATGCGTAACAATTGCCCAGCCACCGGGGAGGGCACTTCCATGGTTACTTTGTCGGTAACAACTTCAACCAGCGGGTCAAAGCGTTCCACCCGATCGCCCGGTTGCTTGAGCCACTTGCCGATGGTGCCTTCAACGACGCTTTCGCCGACGTGGGGCAGTTCAATGAATTGGGCCAAAAGGTGTTTCCTCGTCGATTTGGAAAGGCCGCCCGAGACGTTTCCCGTCCGTTAGGGCAATGTTAGTATGAGGCCAACCGCCGTAGCTCGGAGGCGATGGCCTCGGGGTTGGGCATGTAGGCATCTTCCAGCGTTTGGGCGAAGGGCATAGTTGGCACGTCGGGCCCGCACAACCGGGCGATGGGTGCATCCAGATACTCGAATGCTTCATCGGCAGCCAGCGCCGCAATCTCGGCGCCGATGCCTCCGCTGATGTTGTCTTCGTGCACAATGAGCAACTTGCCGGTTTTGCGCACCGAGGCCAGTATCGTTGCGGTGTCCAGTGGTTTCAGGGTGCGCAGGTCGACCACTTCGGCGGCAATCCCGTCGGCAGCCACGGCTTCAGCGGCGGCCAGGCAGTAGTGCATCGCCAGCCCGTAGGACACCACGGTGACGTCGCCGCCGACGCGTTTGATGTCGGCCGGGCCGATTGGGATGGTGTAATCGTCGTCGGGGACTTCGCCGCGCACCAGGCGGTAGGTCTTTTTGTGCTCCAGGAATATCACCGGATTGTCGTCGCGGATTGCCGATTTCAGCAGACCCTTGGCCTCATACGGCGTCGACGGAGTTACGACGAGCAAACCCGGTGTGTGGAAGAAAAGAGCCTCTACATTTTGCGAGTGAAACAACCCGCCGCGAATTCCCCCGCCGTAGGGTATGCGGACGGTCATGGGAACCTTGAGGGCCCCGTTGGTTCCATAGTAGGCACGGGCTGCCTCCCCGATCAGCTGGTTGACGCTGGGCCACACGAAATCGGAGAACTGCACCTCCGGGATGGGGCGCATCCCACGGAACGCGGCGCCCAATGCGATGCCCATGATGGACGCCTCCGCTAGCGGAGTATCCAGCACGCGCTGGGGACCAAAATCTTCGATAAGCCCCTGGGTGGCCAAGAACACGCCGCCGCGTTGTCCCACGTCCTCGCCCATGACAAAGACCCGCTCGTCCCGCTCCATTTCTTCCCGCAGAGCCGAACGCACTGCCTCGATTACCGTCATCTCTGTCATGGCATCAACCCGATGGGTTAAGTTTCGAACGCGCTTTGTGTGGGTTAGCTAAATGTAAAGATTGTCATAGATGGTAGATGCGTCGGGAGGGGAGGCGGCGTCGGCAAAATCGGTGGCGTCGTTGACCAGTTGCAATGCCTCGGCCTTGAATTGGTCTACCTGCTCCGGCGATACGATACCGCGGTTCAGCAGCTCGGCAGGGAAGGTTGTTACCGGATCGAACTGTCGTGCCGCTTCCAGAGCGTCCCGGTCGCGGTAGCGGCGGTCGTCATCGTCGGTGGTGTGGGGCATGAACCGTTCGCACTTCATTTCCACCAGCGTCGGCCCGGTGCGGCGAGCAAAGTCGATCCCCTGCCGGGTCGCCTCGTAACACGCCATCAAATCCATGCCGTCGATGACAAACCCGGGGAATCCGTACGCTTCCGCGCGCGCCGCCACATCGCTGATCACCATCTGGGTTGCCTGCGGCGTGGAGATGGCGAACTTGTTATTCTCGCAGATGAACACGATGGGTAACCGGTGAATGGCGGCAAAGTTCATCGCTTCGTGGGTCTCACCCTGGCTGGTGGCGCCGTCGCCGAAGTAACAGATTGTCACCGTATCGTCGCCCATCATCTTGCAGCCCAGGGCGTAGCCGACGCTTTGGGTCAGCCCGGCGGCGACCACGTTGGAGATCTGGATGATCTTGTTTGGCAAATCCGCCCCCTGAAGGGGAAACTGGCGCGCGCCAGAATAGGGATCGCCGTCCTTGCCCATGAATGACAGCATAACCTGCCGGGGCGTGAGGCCGGCGGCCATCTTGATGGCCAGGTCGCGGTAGTAGGGGAACAGGAAACAGTCGCCATCCTTCTGTGCAGCCAGGAGCGAACCCAGTTGCGCCGCCTCGTGTCCCTGGGCGGACGCGGCGATGGGCACCTTGCCCTGCCGGTTCATCATCCAGATGCGCTCGTCCATGGCGCGCACCAGAATCAGCTGGCGGCAGATTTCCACCAGGTCGGCGACTGTCAGTCCGGCCGGCAAATTCGGCGGGCTGCCATTGGCGACGGCCACCGCGTCAGCGCTCAATTCGGGTACATTAGCCTGAGTCATGGGGCTATTCTCCTGGAAACCACAAGCATAGAGCGAAGATGCAACGCCGCCGCCGTAATGATAGACCAACGGCGGTTGGGTGGCAAATTGGCGCAGATCTGATCGGAGCGGCCGGGGCGACTTTCGCGGCGGTGTTACGATATGGCGGGTCATAGTCCGCCTAATATGTTGAATCGTGCGGAGTATCGTGAAACCGTGTATATGGGGATTTCAACGCTTTGCGGTTGCATTAGTTGTGGTGGGCCTGGTCGCCGGCGCCTGCCAATCGCCGGAACCTACGGCGACGCTCGTGTCGGCAGATGCCGACAGACCGGCCACAGGCCAAAGCGACGGCATCCCAGACACCGACGGCAACTTACGTTCCTCCTATAGCCACGCCCACTGCGGCGCCCACCGCAACCTTGCTCCCCACGTACACGCCCACGCCAGAACCGACGGCCACGCCGATACCGGAGCCCACAGCAACCCCAACACTCGCGCCAAACTCGACTGCAACTATCAGCGGATACGATGGTTGCGTGGTGACGAATCCGCCGAAGGATTTATTGGTTGACCCGTTTTATACCAAGTATTGCTCCGCAGGGGGAATACCAGTGCTGTCGTCCGAAAAGGTGCGTGATTTGGCCCTTCAGATCGTATGGAACACCTTCATGAACATGCTGTCAGCGCCCCCTGATATCCACTCTGAAATGGTGCGACAAGGCACGTTGTTTGGCGTGCTTGCAGAATCTCAAGTGCTCACCAATATGCCCGAGTATCAGGATCTGTATACGCAGTTCCCCGGCACCGACTGGAACCAGCGGGCCCGCGGATTAGGGGCCACCGGGTTCATTCCCCTAACTAGTAGCCCAACAGCTTTGAACTGATGGATAATGAGGTG